AAAATAAAAAGTAAGCCATTTGGAGACATTTTTTCAGAGGTCTCCACTGACCAAGTATCTAAGTAGCGCAGTAAGTTTGTTGGGGAAGAAAGGTTGTGTGGATGGGGAGATACTGGAAATCCTTAGAGAGAGGATGCGAGAGAAGAAAGGAGAGGACTAGACACAGAATGCAAGGGAAACACTTTCTCTTTTCAAAAAGCAAAAAATAACTTTTCCTTTCTAATAAACTAAGATGGGTCTATTATAGACAAATGTGAAAATATAGATAAGAAAAACAAAAACAAAATTTGTCTTTAATCCCACCACTTGTGTATAGTTGTTGCTAACAGTTTGGTATACAAAGGTCTATCCAAAAAGTATCCCTCCATGTAGTGTGAAAAATAGAGACATTTATTAAAGAAGATACATGATACAAGAAACATTGTAGAAAGGACAATGACACCTCAGTCCCCTTTAAAGTAGGCACCTTGGGCCCTCATACAGTTCCCCCAATTGCCATTGGCTGCCTGTAGTATTTTCCTGAATCTCACTGATAGTGTGAAATCTCTTCCCTTTCAAAGGTCATTTTAGTTTTTGGCAAACCCAGAAGTCACCGGGCACCAAATCTGGGCTGTAAGAGGGCTGAGTCACCTGGGTGATTTGATGTTTCACCAAAAAACTCTGCATGAGACGTGATACATGAGCAGGTGCATTGTCATAAAGAAGCTGCCAACCACCAGGTGCCCAGAGCTGTGGCCTTCTGAATCATCCAAATGGTTCTGAGGAGGAAGGCTCAAGTTTAATGCAAAATTTGATGCACATTTTTGTTGCTCTAGTTGCTCAGTCATTTTGAATGTGACAGCCATACAGTACACATTCTCAGTCAATGGTATCTACCACCCCACTAAATAGTACAGTGAAGGCATCATTGTTCACCCATGCACATTCCAGTCCACTCTCCTTGGCTTCCAGGTTACATCAATGTTGTGCACACCATTCTTGTTATATTAACAATGGCTAGACTTTTTCTGGACAGACCTCATATATCTTTTCAGACTATATTTTTGTATACAAAAGTATATATATTTACTTTATAAAAATCAGATAATCATTTTCAATGGCTGCTGTAGATGCACCATGATTCATTTATCATTAAATGAATTGTGATCTAACATCTATATTTAAGTTGTTTCCAATTTTTTATATTATCATAAATAACAGTGATTTCTAGTTGTGTGGCCTTGTGAAAGCTAGTTAACCTCTCTGTGCCTTTCCTCATCTACCTACCTCATAGGGTTGTTGTGAGTAACAAAAAGGATTATATATGTAGCCCTGGCTGGTGTAGCTCAGTAGATTGAGCGTGAGCCTGTGAACCAAAGGGTTGCTGGTTTGATTCCCAGTCAGGGCATATGTCTGGGTTGCAGGCTAGGTCCCCAGTAGGGGGCATGTGAGTGGCAACCACACATTGGTGTTTCTCTCCCTCTCTTTCTCCTTCCCAAACCCTCTCTCTAAAAATAAATAAAATATTTTTAAAAGATTATATATGTAAAGTGCCTAACACAGGGACTGATACATTAAATGTTAGCTTTTATTATTAAGTATGATAATAATTGTTGTTGGGTTTCCTTTGACTAGTTTTTGGTTTATGGGAGGAGAGAGTGATTTGAATTTTCTTTTTGAGTCATATGCCATAATGAGCTCTGGAATCAAAGAGAGCTGTGTGTTTTTGGTCATGTCAATTCACCCCTCTGAGGCTCAGGGTTTGTTTTTTTTATCTGTAAACTGAGAATTAAAAGGACCTAGATCACAGGGTAGCTGTTAGGATCAAATGAGAGAATGCTTGTAATGCCCTCAGCACAGTTCTTGGCATATGGGAAGAGTTCAATCAAAGTCAGTTATTACTAGTACTACCAATACTGCTACAATGATTTAGCCATTGATTGGGTTGGGAGGAGGAAGATGGCAGTGAGTGAAGCACTGGGAGTGTTTCTAACCTGTTGTCTAACCAATCATTGGAAATGATTTTGGAATCAGATGGATCCATACTCAAATCTGGGTGTTGCCATCTCCTAGCTCTTTGACCTTGGTCACAACTTCTCCAAGCTCATTTCCCCATTTGTTTACCTTGCAGGTGTTGCTATGAGACCCAAAGCATATAATGTAAGCATAGTGATTTGCTGAGTGCTCAGGTTGCTAATTATGTATGTGGGAAAATTTATAATGACAGAATGCCTTCCCACCAACCCCTAGACTATGAACCCTTGTAATTCAGCTACTTGAACTTCACCTTAAAGACCTTGACCAACTCTCTTCTAGTCTGGGGGTTTAAAGGGTACTGATTCAGAAGGTTACAGGGCTCCAATAAATCTTTCTGCTAGTTCTACTCTGACCTTGTGCCCCACTTCTAGAAAGTAGGCTATGTAGCTCTGAGTCTGTGAGCAAGCTCTCACCTGGTATGCTCAAAACTGGCATGCTTTTCTTGTAAGCTGTCTCAAGGCCCTGGAGCCTCACTGTCAAATCCTAGCTTTGTTGCAGGGACACTGGTTGCCAGATTTCCCTCCAGGTCTCTAATTGATAACAAATTGCCTTTGTTATCGCCATTGCAGGGCTCTATCAAACCCCTATGGCCCATGTTCACAAACCCTGATTTTCCTGCCCTTGAACTTTTTGAACTCTGACATTGCTTCACTCAGCCTCAATCCCCAGTTCTGTTACTTCTAACCCCTGTCTGTGCCTGGCTCCCAGGACTCCCACAGACTCTCTCACACAGAATGTATGTTTCGCTTCTTGAGCCAGGACTGTTTTAGTCTCATCTTTTTTATTTCATTTGGGGCAGGCAGAGGTGGGCATAGTGGGCTGCTGCAACAATTGGGGGTGAGAGGCAAAAGGGTGGAGTTGCATAGGCCAAGTACTAAAGTGGAGCCTCTGGAGGGCTGTCAAGTGAAAGGCAGCCAGAGTCAAATGTCAGAGCCTATACAGAGGCAGGACTCTGGGACCAGAGAGGTAGAGCAAGCACTAGCAAGTCAGGAGCAGTGAGGCAGGTGGGCAGGCTGGCTGGCAGATAGGAGGGGGGCATGGCAGGGGATAGCTAAGGGAGACTGTAGAGAACAGCTGCTGGTATTGGGTCTTACTTTAATGAACTGGCTAGGCATGGGGCATAAGAGAATTGGCCAGACCCAAAGAGCTAGCGCCACAAAGGACATGCTCTCCCTCTTCTCCTTTTCTGGCAAGGTAAGCTCTTTCCAAGTTTTGTCTGGTGGGAAGCTATGACATGTTCAGAGATTTTTCTGAAGATTGGAGGTAGATGTCTATGGTTGCTCTTTACACTTATCTTTCCCATTGCACCAATTAGTAGAGTAACCAAGGTGCCAGCAGGAATCTAGTATTTCTTCTACTATACTTCATCTCAGGGTTTCCAAGGCTGGAGATAGAGGGAGGGGTCTTGGTAATGTGACTAAATAAGAGGGAGAGAGAACAGATTACATGGAGCTTTATAGCACAGTGGGGAAGAGTAGGGGGCTCTGGAGTTGGATCAACCTGGGAGTTTATATGACTGCAGGTAAATTAAGTTTCTTTGAGCCTTAGTTTTCTCTTTTGTAAGGTGAAGATAGAGTACTACCCAATCTTTTAGTGTTGCTGTGGATACCAAATAAGATGATGTATTTAAACTGTCTTAGTGGAGTGCTTGCCAGCCAGTGCATGCTCAAGAAATACTTGCTGTTAGAGAATCTGTTGCTAGCATTATTGTTATGGGTGCACAATGCCATCCAATTGATGACTTTTGTGACATTGTCCCAAATGAGCAAGTGTTCCATTTTTGGCACAAGCAGGCTGTGAGAGGATGTGTAAACATTTTATAATTTGTGTGTTGGTTTCCAAGTTATGTGCCAGGGAGCCACTCCTGGGGCTGCTTATGGGGCTGGGTCATAGGGATGAAGCTCTGTGATTGCTGACCCATGTATCATCAGAGAAACTTGAAATTTGTTCATGCTCTAGACTGGGCTTCAAGTGAGCTATACTCTAGGATGTCAGAAAGATAACTGAATGCAGCCTTACAGATGCTAAAAGCTAGGCAGCTCTAAGGAAGGGCAATAGTCAAATATATACAGTTTTTACTGTTGCAGTGACCCTATTTAGCTCCAACCCTAGAAAATCTGAGATATATGCTAACATTGGAATAATAATACTCTCTATTATGCAAGGTATTATAAGATTCAAATGGAATATTGCAAGTACCTGTACATTATAGACAGTTCAAAGTTGCATACAGTTGCCTACAGTTGTCAACAGCTTAGTGCCCAGAACACACTAAGTAAGCAGTAAAGTGGTAGTAGTAGTGGTTGTTGTTCTTGCTATTAATAATAATGATGATAATAAGCAAGCTTTTCTGTTCATGAAATGCTGCTCCCAGTTACTGAATCATATAAATATCTTCCTTTTTCTGAGAAAGACATTCAGGGACATTAGAGTAGTAAAGTGGGGACTAAACTACTGGCAGAACTCAATGAGCTCCAGGAACTAATGATTTTCCTGGAGCAAAGGGTTATCTCATCTAGGTCTGCTAGTAACCTGGCTGGCTTGTGAATGATCTGGTAGGATAGAACATAGCCCAGGAACCTGCACTTCTCACGATTTTCCAGAAGGTGGTGCTGCTGCTTCATTTGATCCAGGACTGCTTTATGTGCCTGGCTACTGAGGTTGCTGGCATTTTTAGTATTTATAAACGGAGAGGGTGTACTGTGTGACTAAGTGGTTTGGTTTGAAAAGAATAGTGGTGGAGGGGATATTTGCTACAGCTTCGAATTTGTTCATTGTTGCACAGCTTCTTTAACCTGATAGGTCCATTTCTTATGCTACATAGCTGGCAACACTTACAAAAGGCCTCTATCATTAGTTATTTGTTTCTTAATCTTCTTGACATTGTTTTTTGACTGCTAAACTTTTTTTTAATAGATTTTCTTACTACTTGGGCTTGAGCAGGACCCTTGATATCATCATTTTGGGGACTTCCTCCTTTGGCCATGGCAGATATGTCAATACCCTTACATTCACCACGATTCAACAATATGCTGAGGGTAGAAAATGATCTCCCAAACAGAGGGACGACCTTCTCTGGACCAATGATAGAGACCATAGAAGAGGTCCAAATTCTGCAATCTCATGTACAGCCTACAGTCTCAACTTCAGCGTCAGACACTGGAGGGATATCTACACAGCTGATGACATCACCAGACTTTGATGCCATGTACACATCTCTAATGGGAGTACCAAACTCTGGAGAACCGTCTTCACTGCTAATGCCAGCCTCAGACTCTGGGGTACTGTCTCCATTGCTAATGCCAGCTTCAGATTCAGAGGCACTGTCTCCATTGCTAATGCCAACCTCAGACTCTGGGACACTGTCCCCATTGCCAATGCCAGCTTCTGATTCTGGAACATTGTCTCCATTGCTGTCCACTTCAGACTATGGTCTAATGTCCCCAGGGCTGATGACAATTCCTGACTTTGGAGCAATGTCCACAACACTAATGGAAGCACCAGATTCTTCAGAGATATCACCACTGGCAATGCCAACTCCATCCTCTGGGGTGATGTCTACATCTATAATGAGCACACCACCCTCTGAAGAGATGTCCACACCATTGATGTTAGCCCCAGATCCTGGAGAGATGTCCCCACTCTTAATGCCAGATAGGCTCACCCCAGACCCTGGAATGATGCCCACACAACCAATGTCAGCTGCAGGCTCTGAAGCAATGTCACCACTGCAAATTACAGATGAAGACACTGAAGCAATGTCCAAAGTACTAATGACTGCCCTGGCCTCTGGAGAGATATCTTCACTGATAATGTCAGGCACAGACTCTGAAGATATATCTTCATTGATAATGTCAGCCCTTGCTTCTGGAGTAACATCAACCCATCCAACAAGCACCCAAGACTCTGGGGAAATGTCCACCCAGCTAATGTCAGGCCCAGACTCCAGAGTAGTGTCTTCACTGTTAATGTCAACTCCAGGCCCTGGAGAAATGTCCACAATGCTCCTGTCAGGTTCAGATGCTGGAGAAATGTCCACTTTGCCAAAACCAGTCCCAGATGCTGAAGCAATGTCTCCACTGTTAATGACAGCAGTGATGTCTGGAGTGATGCCCACCCAGCTGATGCCACCTGAAAACTCGGGAGTAATGTCCTCACAGTTAACACAAGATCTACACTCTCAAAGCATGTCTGCACCACAAATGAGAGCCCCAGCCTCTGGCAATATGTCTACATTGCTAAAGGAAGTCTCAGACTCTGGAGCACTGTCCACCCCATTGGTGACAGTCACAACCTCTGGAACAATGTCCATGGAGCAAATGTCAATCACAGCCTCTAGAGTGATGTCCACACAGGTAACAATGGTCAGAACTTCTGGAGCAACATCCACAGGCTTTATGAAAGCCACAAACAATAGGGCAATATCCACACTGCCAATAAGAATTCCAACTTCTGGAATGATGTCAACACCACTAAGAAAAGCTTCAGATTCTGCATCAATGTCCACACAGCCAGTTATTGACCCAGCCTCTGAAACAGTGCCCATGCTACCACTGACAGTCCCAGCCTCTGGGTTAATGTCCACACTACAAATGAGAGCACCTGTTTCTAGCGCAATGCCCATATCACAAAGGAGAGCCACAGTCTCAGGAGTAACAGCTGTACCACAAATGAGAACCCAAGCCCCTGGAGCAATGTCTACACTGTTAACTGTAGACCCAGCCTCAGGAGTGATGTCCATTCCACAAACGAGAACTACAGCCTTGGGAGCATTGTCCAAGCCACTAATGACATCCAAAGCCTCAGAAGCAATATTCATGCAGCAAATGACAACCACAGCTTCTGGAGACATATCCACAATACTAATGAGTGACACAACTTCTGGAACCATGTCCATGCCACAGATGACAGACATTGCCTCTGCAGAAATGTCCACACTACTAATAAGAACCCATGCCACACCACAAATGACAACTGTAGCCTCTGGAACTATGTCCACACCTCTAATGAGAGCCCTAGGCCCTGGAGCAATACCCACAGAACTAATGAGAACCACAACCTCTACAAAGTTGCCCAGGCAGCCAATGAGCACCCAAGATTCAGGAGGGATGTCCAGATCACTTCTGAGATCTATAACCTCTGAGGGGATGTCCTCATTGCAGATGCAAGCTCCAGCCTTGGAAATGATATCCACACCAAAATTGAGAGCCCCAGCCTCTGGGGAGATGTCCACACCACTGATGAGAACCTCAGACCCTGGAGAGATGTCTGCACTGCCCATAAGAGATTCATCATCTGGACCCACAGCTCATGGAGTGATTTCTACTCCACAAATGATAGCCACAGCCTCTGGACGGGTGTCCATACCACAAATGGGGTCTCTAGTCTCCGGTGACATGTCCACATGGCTCATGACATCCACAGCCTCTGGAGTAATGTCCACACCTCAAATGACATCCATGGCCTCTGGGGCAATGTCTACACCACAGATGATACCCACAGCTCCTGGGGAAATGTGCACACTATCAGAGCAAGCCTCAGCCTCTAGAATGATGTCCCCACCACTATTAAGGGCCCCAGTCTCTGGAATTATGTCCACACCACTAAGGGCTCCTTCAGCTTCTGAAGATGTGTCCACAGAGTTAAAGAGAGCTTCAGTCTCTGGAAAGATGTCCACTGCACAAACAGCCATGGCCTCTGGAGGGAAGCCCAAGCCATTCATGAGAGCCACAGCCTCTGGAATAATGCCCATGCCATTGATATCAGCCATGGCTTCTGGAGAGATGTCTGTGCCACTAATGGAAAGCAAGGCCTCTGGAGCAATGTCCACACCACAAGCAACAGTCACAAGTTCTGGATCTATGTCCTTGCCAGAAACAACATACTCAGCTTCCAGAGGGATACTTCTGCCACCAATGAGAACCTCAGCTTCTGAGATGATGTCCACACCATTTCTGAGAGCCACATCCTCTGAAGGAATACCCACACCACTAATGAGGACACCAGTCCTGGGAACCATGTCCATACCACAAGTGACGGCCACAGCCTCTGTGGAAAGCAAAGCCACAGACTCTGGAGAAACTTCTACCTCTCACAATAACACCACGGCCTATGGATCACAGTCCACACTACACATGACTGCCACAATCCCTGAAACAATGAACCCACCACTAAAGGAAGTTCAGTCCTTTGGCATGCTGACCCCAGCACTCTGTTACCTCTTAGAAGAGCAGGAAGCAGCCCGGGGTTCATGCTCTGAGGAGGAGGAGATGAAGATTGATGAGGAGAAGCAAATGAAGGGATTTTTGGATGATTCAGAGAAAATGGCATTTCTAGTGTCTCTTCATCTAGGGGCAGCGGAAAGGTGGTCTATCTTGCAGATGGAGGTAGGAAACCCCCTCTCAGATGAAAATAAATCTTTCCTAAAAAGATCACAGGGCGTATATAATTCCCTCTCTGAGATGGACATCCTCAGTGCTGTTCTTTGCCACCCCAAGCAGGGCCAGAAGTCAGTCAGGCAGTATGCCACTGACTTCCTGCTGCTCGCGCAACGTTTGTCTTGGTCTGATGCCATTTTACGGACCAGGTTTCTGGAAGGACTCTCGGAAGCTGTTACCACCAAAATGGGACAGATCTTCCTCAAGGTGGCTGGCAGCCTAAAGGAGCTGATAGACAGGTCTCTCTACATTGAGTGCCAGCTGGCTGAAGAGAAGGATTCCCCAGGCAGCTCAAGCCAGGTTCTGCAGTCAGCCTGTAAGCGGAATAATGAGGAGGCAATGAAGAATGAAATGAACACTGATCAGCAGACTGAGGAGGTAATAGTGCAAAAATACACTCAGAGTTATGAGCAGAAAATTGAGGAAGAGATGATGAAGAATACATTCTTTGAGTAGAATAAGAAAGAGGCAAGGGGGAGGCATTGAGCTCCTAAACCTTAACCCTCAACCTGGAGTTTCATCAGTGGGCCTGGCTATTGCAGTTGCAAAGCCCTGCCCCAGTTATTGAAAGCCTAGGATGGTTAAAGGGCTAAATCTTCTGATTAGGGGGAGCTAGCTGGGATCAGTCCCAACTCTCTACTTTTCCAAGTCCAATTCTAAGGGAGGGGACTCCTTCTGAAGGCTGGGTATTACCTGTAGCCAAATGTGTTATGGACTCAGGTCGCTAGAGAATTTGGCTACCTTAGTTTTCTGTCACACTGTTTAGAAGTAAGGTACATTAGCCAAGATTCTTGATCTGCTAGGTTACTGAAATTATCCAAGCAGAATACCACTTTGTCCCAGTAAGCATGGCTCTTACCTTGGCTGTTTTTTGTTTTTCTCACTCTCAGCACCAGCATGTTCCCAAACGCTGTTACTACCTGAAAGAGCACGGAGACCCCCAAGAAGGTCTACACAACCACCTTCGACAAAGCACAGGTCATCAGAAGGCCCCCACCAACAAGTAATGTTCCCTGGACTCTTCTGTGATATTTGACTCAGCTGCTATCTTGAGGACTGTTTCCTGAACCCATTCCATTCAATTATATCATAAGCTTTGTGGCCTTTCCCCCCGCCCCATGCCTTAACACCCCCCCTCCATGCACATCCTGCCCTATCTTCCACTTGGGTGGCATGACCTTCTCTTTTACCCCATATGCCTGTGATTTGTCCTGACAATCAGAGGGTGGACTTCAAGAGTTCCTATCACCATCAAAGCCAGTTTTAATTCTTGGTCCAGGGATATATCTAGGCAGGAGAAATGATGTCCTACCTCAAAAACACCTTAGAGTGTCTTGCCACATGTCATCAGGTAAACTTGAGGACTCCCTGGTACTCATTTCTCCTGGCAGGGGAGCCTGTAAGGAGGGTGATGGCCACTCCTATACACTTTTCACCCAGTAGACTTGCCATTACATGCCCCAACTCATAACATGTAACATAGGTCTCCAGAGCACTTGCCTTGTTTATAGTCTCCATCTGGAACCATTTATTTTAACCCATAATAATGATTGTAGTAATGGCTACTGTTTATTGATTAGGTACTCTTTGATAGATACTGGGCTAAACTGTTGACAAGCACTATCTCACTACATTCTTACAATAACCGAAGCTGTTATTGTGTTGTCAGCTTCTGACCTCTTGATCTGTTTTGTATAGCTCTTGTCCTTTAGTGTCAAATCTCTAGCACTGACTTCTGGGTGATGCCCTCAGCTGTTATTTAGCCTCACTCCCCTCAGCTATTGTGCTTTATGTCCAGCACTCTTGATAAGAGTTTTGGTCTTTAAACAGGCAGAGATAGAACATAATGTGAGCAGTGTTTGTCTTCAAGTGGTGGGATTATGGTGTTCTTATTTTCTTCTTCCTACTTCTCTATACTTTCTAGATTCTCTGTAGTAAGTGTGCATTACATTTGTAATCATAAAGGTAAATAAACTTTACTTATGAAAAATAGAATTAACTATTGCTAATAGAATTTGATTTATTTAGTCCTTCATTCAATCAACATTTACTATCTAACATGTACCAGCCACTGTTTTGGTGACAGACAGATAAGAACATTCATTGAATGAAAACTTAATTCCAGTGGAGGGAGGGCATAGACAATAAGCAAGAAAACATATAAGTAACATAGGTTGAAATTGTCTTAAAGACTACAAAGACAAACAACAAGGATAATGGGGAATGTGATACTAGTAGGGCCAATGTATTTATTCAATCATAGTGCATGCAATTGGGTTACTCAAAGATCTTTTAAAAACAGTAAATGACATGATTAGAAACATGTTCTACAATGCTAACTTGGCAGTAGTTAGGAGGATGGGGGAAGGGGTCAGAGAGCAGTGATGAGCTCCCTACTGTGAGAGTATAGGTAACTGACTCACCAGATGATTCAGTCTAGGGCTATAGCAGCAGGGATGGAAAGAGAGGGACAAGGGCCAAACCTCCTTTGAGGACTTAAGTCTGTTTCTCCATTGCCCTAAATGTTGGGTGTGATTCCAGGAAGAGGAAATGATTATCTGGAAAAACAAACAAAGATTGTCAAGCTGGCAGTCCAGTGGTAATATAGATAAGAAACTGGCTCTGCAGGCTTCCAGGAGATGCATCAGTCACCAGTGCTGTTGAATTGGAAAGAGAGGATGGAATAAGTTGGGAAACCCAAATTTCAGGCAGGAAGGCTGTGAGACTCCAGGAACCCTTTTGGCTCACTTCTGGCCCAGTCCAGGGCCTAGTAAACTTTGGATCTTTCTGTTCAGCCAGGATTGCTCTTAGCTAGGGAAAACACTGTTGACCCTACTCGCCACTGAAAAAGATATTTGATGAGATAGAATAAAAATTTGTGTCTGGAAAATGTGTTTTGGGAGGAAATTGTCTTTAAAAATAAAACTGTCCCTGGCTGGTGTGGCTGAGTGATTGAGTGCCGGCCTGCATATCAAAGGGTTGCCTGTTCTATTCCCAGTCTAGGGCACAAGCCTGGGTTGCAGGCCAGGTCCCCCAGTGGGGGGTGCATGAGAGGCAACCACCCACTGATATTTCTCTCCCCCTCTTTCTCCCTCCTTTCCACTCTCTAAAAAACAATAAATAACATCTTAAAAAATAAAATTGATTATTTATGACCATGATAATGGAGAAAAATAACATTTTTCTTTGTTTTTTTTTTTCTCCCTAGTGTTCTTTCCTTTGTTTTTGCCTCTCCATTCCCTAAAGCTAAGTCTCTAGAGATAAATGGAACAAATGAAGCTCACTTATTCCTTTCTGGAGCTCACTCCGTACTCCTCTAGCCACCCAAAATTTTATATTTAGAAATGTTTCTAGAGCCACTCAACATCTACATGCAGTTGAGCAACCATGTGCCTAAATACTCGAGACTATTTTGCCTGTGGTACAATTGTGTTTCAAGTTTTTTCAAGCCTTACTGACCCATGGGTAAAAATAAGGTTCCATAAACAGTGAAAATTCAGATGTCACTGACCCCAGTCCTCACGCATATATTACAAACTTTCAACACCTTGAAGGTTTCCTCTGGTTATTTGTGGAAGACCCCAGCAGTTTCCCTTACTCTGAGATAGTTATTGTGTTTTCTTCCTATCCTGTCTTGTGGCAGAAATGAGGTCAGCCCACCCACCCTACCCCAGCTGCCGGTGAGTGCCTCTGGCTGTGGGAACCCAAAGGTCACCACTGGGGTAGGCTTTGTGGATTCTGAAAATCCACAAGAGGCCTGAATGGTGCTGCCCTCACTTTAGGCAGCTTTGGCTAAGGCCACTGATGGGGTCATAAGGGGTTTGGAGGGGCAAGTGAGAGGTTTAGAGGATAGAATTGGAAAATGGGGGTAGTAATTCTTCTCCTCATTCTGTGCCAGTTTTTCATCTAGACATTGAAACAACATTGCTTCTATCCTATATCTCACTGAGGCCTGTGTGAAAAGAGAAGCTTAAGTTTCTTCCTGCAGCAATCTATCCCCTGCTGCCCCTACTCCCTTTGCCCCAATTCAGACTTTCAGACTTGGTTCCTGTGCCTAGAGAATAAAAACCATCAAGTCCTCTGTTCAGATCCAACCTTTAGCTCTGATTTCCAAAATTTCCAGCTGGTCTCTATCCCTGCCCCTAAAGCACTATAAGCCCACAGATTTCTTCAAAACCACTGTCATCCTTGTTGAATAGATGCTAGAAACTCTCTCCACACATCCAGTCCTTGGGGCCCAGGTGGAAAGCAAATATCACCCTTTTCTGTTCATCCATACTTCTACCATTGTTTCACCCACTACCTGGTCTCTGTCTCTGCCCTTCAGGGACCAATAATATATGAAACCTTATCTTAATAGATCTATCATTTGATTTGAAAAATAAAATTTGTCTTAAAGACTATTTTCTCAAATGCAAGTACACTTGGGCTGCCACTGAATGATCAGTGCCTCAGAGAGTTTCCAGACATTTCTGAATCTCACTTTTGGCTCAGCTAAGATGCCACTACACTGGATTAGTTTTGTCAGATCAAGTACAGGACTTCCTCCCCTCATTTTTCCCAATAAGCTTCAAACTTCAAGGCACTATCAACCTCATTCTCAGAATATTACAGATAAAATAAGTTTCCTTACCTCAGAGTATAGAGAGATTTTTACATATGGATCATGTATTTCTTTCCTTCTCATCTGGCCTGAAAATAGCATCTTGAAGAGTTGTGGGGCAGGGACACAAGCTGCTTGATCCCTTGTGATCTAACGTAGGAGTTACAGGAGAATAGATGGTATAGGAGTTTCAAATGACTATTGGAGGAGGAGGCCTGACTTTGAGTATCTCTAACAAGCTGGGTAGTTCTAAACATGCCAGTTTACCTTTCAAGGCCTCAGTTTCCTCTGCTCCAAGATGGGGTTAATCGTCACTATCCTGCCAACCTCACAGCTTCAGGGGATAAAGGTTGTAAAAGTGTTTTTGAAAAACCAAATGCAAAATGTGCAAATGTTAAGATCTTGTTATTATATGTAAACCTAAGCTTAGCCCTGAGGAGCTTGGGAAGTGTGTGGGATAGGGCTAGTTGGGACATATTCAGCAACCATTCTCTTCAGGGTTTCTATTTAAATTGTGGGGGAGGACCTAAAAGTAAAGCCTTGACCAAAGACGGGCAAAAGCCTAATATTACAGTTTAATATTAGCACTTGTGAAGAACTTACCTGGGCCCCAGATATGGACTAACTGCTTTATCTGGATTATCCTATTCAATCTTCCAAATAGCATGAGAGGTGGGTGTTATCATTAATCTTATTTTATAGACCAAAAATCTGTGGCACAGAGAAGTTAAGCAACTGACCTAAGGTTACAGAGCTAAAAAGTAGCAGAGCTGGGATTTGAACATGTGTAGTCCGACGCCAGAGCCCCCCTACCCTCACCCTACACCACCACTCTACCATTTATACATGGTTTCATTATTCAGAGTCAGATGGCCACTGTGAAGACCTACTATTATCCTCTAAACAAATTTGCATGGAATATCAGCCAACATTTGAAGGTAATAAAGTTTAAAACTTGAACAAAAATAGTCCTGCTTCCCCCTTCCCCATCTTAGATACAGATGTGAATCTTTCTAAGGGTATTTAGGAAATTTTTTTAACATTCAAAGAAAAAGATCAATCACTGTGAGGTGCTACTAAGCTCAAGACATTCTGTCCAGGGATAGCTGTAACCCCAGATTGGAGCAACCTCTGTTCTGAGCTGTGGCTTGAGAAAGAAACTGAGATTCTCCCCTGGCATCTTCCCAATGAGAAAAAATACACATTGCTCCCAGGCATATGTGGACGAGTACAGAACTTTGAAAGTGGAAGGGATTATTTTTGTGGTTACACCAGGAACTGGCTCTGTTTTTTCAGCACTTCTTGCCCTTCCCTTTGTCACTTTTTTGAAGGTACTTATTTTTTATTATATTTTATTGTTTATGCTATTGCAGTTATGACAAATTTCCCCCCTTTATCTCCCTC